CGGGGGGCGCGGGGCAGCGCCGCCATCTTCCCTGGCGGAGGGAGCGCGAGGGCCACTGGGCTCGGGACGTTTAAAGGGCAAATTAAAGTTATCTGGTGGCTGCCGGGGAACGCGATGTCAGAGCATGTGCCTGCTGTATTAATAGCTCCCGGGAGGCACCGGAGGGGACTCAGGAAGCTGGCAGGCGTACCTCGGGCGGCGTTAACTGTTTCGTGCAGGCTGGAGGCTGGCGCGGGGGCTGAAAGCTTGCCCAGAGGGGTCTGGGTGCGGCCGCCAGCCAGCTTGGTGACTGAAGTCACCTCGAAGAAGCAAGAGCACCTTAAGCCTTGACCTTGCCTGCGTGGAGTCATGCCATGGAGGGTGAGGGGGACATGGATGTTGGGCAGGCACCCCGGTGTGGCTGTCGTGCCCTACAACAAAGGTCACCAGGGAGGCGTGGTCAACCTGGGACGTGGTGCAGCGGTGCAATGTTCATGAGCATCGGTAACCAGAAATGGGCTAGGCCCCTCTGAGTCAAGGGCAAAGAGAGCTGGTTCATGTTTGATGAGCTGTGTGAACTTGCAGGCATTGAGGTCTTTAAATACCCCATCATGCTCTGGGACCTGGCTTTCCCGAAGAGGAGACAACGTGCCTTCCTGCACTGTACCCTCATTTCAACCCTGCAAGGTCAGACCCTCAGAAGAGTCACAGCCAGTCCCCTCTGAAGGAGGGAGGGAGGGGAAGGGACTCTGGGATGCAGATGCCCAGGCATGCTTAAATTGCTTGACTCGCAACAGATACGAAAGAAGAGTAAAGGCTGTAGTGAAACCCTGCCTTCGTTCAGTGTCTAGTTCCTAGGGAAACCTTCCGAGTCCCAAATGAAGATTACATGTCTCCCTCGCTAGCTTTCCTGTTTCTCATCTGTTCCTTCTGGCTGACCCCCATAAGAAAGCAAGAGCTTATGATTCGTTGTTGGGTGACTTTGTTGTATGGAATAGTTATGTGAAAGACAGTGCCGCAAGTTGTAGAGGCATACCTAGGAGTTTGCCTTAAAAAGGCATTAAGATGTGCCCCAAGGACAATGTGTAGGGTAATGGGGTCTGCTTTGATTTGGTAATATGGTATCAATAATGGAAATAGGATTCACCTTAATGTAGGTGCTAAAAGATTGGCCATTCCACGAAGAGATGTTCTCTTCGGGACAGCAAATCTCTTCTCACTGACGTGCTTGTTAGCACGAGTCAATGAGACTGTAAATTTGATCCCCATCTCTCTTGACCTCTGCTGCTCTTACGTCTGTTGAGGTAGAGGTCTCTACTCGTGAACCTCAGCTCTGGGAAGTGGATGGCAGCTTTAACTTCTAGGAGCACCCTTTGTACCTTGGCTATCCTGAGCAGATGGAGCTTTTCCCCAGCTTGTAAGAAAAGGGACAAGACGCCCTCCCCGAAGAGACCTTTTCCCCAAGCGAGACTGTAAAGCAGGTGCAAGCAGGAAGCATAGGGGATCCCTAGAATTAGACTGTGAGTTGAGGGGAGCATTGTTTAACGTATGTAGCTGCCTGGTCTTTCCTTTTTCTTCCTCATACTTCACTCACCAGGTCTGGTGTCTCCTCTTTTCACAGGAAAGTAAATATCCCTTTGACGTCTCAGGGCTTCTACTGCTGGTTTCATACAAACCCATGTGGGATGGTGGTGTGGTGCTCATCGTTGCTGCCCGACTGTCCAGACTGATGAGGTCTCCTCAGCAAGTACACTCAGGTGTCAGCCAGTGCCCCACTGGTATGTGACTTGTGTACGGTGAGTGAGAGGTGGGAGAAATTACATTTTTTAGCTCATTTAAATAGCCTTTTTAAAAAATTACATTTTAGTGAAGTCTTTATCAGAAGAATTCTAGTTAGTTTCTAAAGTTATTATTGTGCATCATCATCCCACTCCGCAGAGGCTCTTTGGTTTAATAGATATTTCTGTAGCACTAATACTATTTACCCATGACTGCCAGTATTTAAAGAAAGCAGGGCATAGAAAGTGAATAGCCACTTTTTCTGCTTCGGCTCTCCCTTACCTGAGCCCAGATGTCTATTTCCAGGAGATACTTAGCTTCCTTAACAAAAGCAGGGCTGGATCAGGATATGTGTCTGCTACCCCGAGGGTTATTCTTCATTTGTTTGATTTTTGCTCCAAATGCCTGTTTTGGATCTTTCCTATGTATGACAGTGAGGCTTTTTATGCTACTTACTGTAGGAGTTCAAATACATCCTGTAAGGAACTTACTGCTAACTCCACCAGTACCACCAAATTTGAGGATGAACATTTCCACTAGCTGGAAATGCCATTAAAAAAAAAGTTAAAGGAACTTCAGCTTTTCATACAGTTAGTTGATGTTTGGTGTTCTATATTCAGAATATTTACTGTTACTTTTGTGGAGAAATGGTTAAAACAATTTTGAAAACACAGGCTTTCCTTTCTGAATTATTTAAAGCTAGCTGTTAGGCCTCATCTTCCTTAGATGTTTGCAGCTTGGGAAGTATTAGTTGGCTTTCTAGGCTGGTTTTGGGTGCTCTGTACTGCTGACATAGCATAAAGACACTGGAATTTGTTCCTAAAAATTCTGTGCTAAAAATAATAACCTAGATCTACATTTTCAAAAGAGATTAGTGACTGACTGCATTGTGCTTTGATGAGTGAATAGCCAGCTTGAAACACTACAGGAGATCAACTTTTACGAGGTATTATGTACCCTTGTTTATTTGCATTTGTAAGACACTGGGAACCCTAGTTTTGAGGCTAGGCCAGGCACAAAATAAAAAAAGCTTTTTCTCAAAAGTCAGCAGTCTGTGTCTGACAGCAGACACAAGGGGGAGCACAGGAAACCAGTAAGATCATCCTGACCCCCAGCATAGACAGTGATGCCAAGAAGAAATGTATTTGTTGGGTTTCTTTTCGGGAAGGATTTGTAAGGTTGTAGTAAATTCTCCTTGCATGAGATTAGTTTATGTTTGTGGTCAGTTCCTCGTAAGTAAGAGGAAAAGCATGGAAGGAGGCAAAAGAGTGACAGTTTGAAAATTTAAGCAGTTGTGCTGGTTTTGGCTAGGACAGAGTTATTTTCTTCACAGAAGCTAGTATGAGGCTATATTTTGGATTTGTGCTGAAAACAATGTTGATAACACAGGGATGTTTTCGTTACTGCTGGGCAGTGTTTACACAGAGCCAAGGCCTTTTCTGCCTCTCACCCCACCCCACCAGCGAGTAGGTTGGGGGGTGCACAAGAAGTTGGGAGGGGACACAGCCAGGACAGCTGACTCCGAATGACCAAAGGGATATCCTATACCATATGACATCATGCTCAGCATATACAGCTGGGGGAAGAAGAAGGAAGTGTGTGTGTGTGTTGACATTCGGAGTGATGGCATTTGTTTTCCCAAGTAACCGTTATGCATGATGGAGCCCTGCTTGCCTGGAGATGGCTGAGCACCTGCCTGCCCATGGGAAGTAGTGAATGAATTCCTTGTTTTGCTTTGCTTGCATGCACAGCTTTTGCTTTCCCTATTAAACTGTCTTTATCTCAACCCATGAGTTTTCTCACTTCTGCCCTTCTGATTCTCTCCCCCATCCTGGGGAGGAGTGAGCTAGCAGCTGTGTGGTGCTGAGTTGCTGGCTGGGGTTAAACCACAACAGCGATAAATAATGACTAATTTCATGGTATGATTGATCTGGCTGTAGACATGAGCCAACATCTTCACACTAGGCCGTGCAGGACTATAAGAATAAACAATGGTTGCTCATACTTGATGTGATGGAGAAGTATTAGACAGTGGAAAGGCACAATGATAGCAATAATACGGTAAAGATGGTGGGTTAAGTTGATGCACCATGGCCTAGATGTGTAATAGGGTTGTAAGACAGCATTTTTCAGAGCAGAAAAAAATAAACATTATAACTAAAGTGATGAGAGCTTGGATCAAAGCATTATCTCTGTGAATGGACAGAAAGAAACACATTTCAGCCTTAATATGTAGGAATGGATCAGCAGGATTTGCAACTGATATGGAAGACTCTAGGAAGAGATTGAAGTCAGGGATAGATACCCAATGAGAGACTTCGAGAGTGATCCACAGTGGTGAGGCAAGCAAGCAGCAGGAAGGATGAAGAACTGGGGAAAGACTAAAATCTCTTGATTTTATCCATACTGAGGAGATGCTTCATGGGCTGCTCAGGTTTTTAGCTAGAGTTTAGAGAAGACAGTGCTGATACAGAAAATTACCACAGTAGGAATAATAGCTATATTTGTGCCTGTGGAGGAGGTAAGAGTGAGAACTGTATAGGAAAATGAGGCATGAAACAATAGCAGATGTCCTAGGACACAGAGGAAGCAGCAGATGCAGCTATTTAGCTTAAAATAGCAATTTCACAAGTAGGAGGGAGAGTAAGAGAGCCCAAAGAGGCTAAATGGGGATGAGAGTTGAGGAGAAATGGCAGGGTTGGTAGTGACAAAGATAATCAAGAAGAATGAAGGAGCGTGGATTCTGAGTTTTGTCTTAGGCAGATATCAGTGAGGATAAATTTAGCTGGATATTGGTCTTACCTGGCTTAGAGAGGAGCCTACATTGAGCTCAAGAGGAGCAAAACTGGACAGTAAGTGTAAGCAGCCCATCGAGGAGAGAAATGTTAGTGCTGGAAATAGTAGTGGGAGTCCACATGGGATGTTTGTTTATTAGAGCATGTCTGTAATGTGAGGACAAGGAGTTGGAGGGGGGTCAAAATTTCAGAAGAAAACCGAGGCAGTGAATGAATGTGGATGTGAAAAAGATAGTAGCTTGCTTTTGGTTTTGAGATCAGTGCCCAGAGATTATTAAAATTGTACTCTGCTTTTCTACCTGTTCCAGTTCATTCCAAGATATGGTTCTCATGGTATTGACCAGATTTCTTGGAAGGTATGACAGCTGCAAACAGTATCAACGATGTCTGGACAGGTATGTGGTTAGAGAAAAGCTAAGTTATGGGCTAAAGCCCTTTACATTTTCCATAACACACGATAAAAGTTCTTCTTGTTGCTGGTGGGTAATATTTCCCAGCAGTAGCATTCCAATTGTGTTTTACATCCTGATGAGGAAAATGAGTTCTTCACCAGGTTCTCCTGCTTACCTCATGGGTTTTTTATGTTTCTTTGTTTCCAAACTGGAGAAACTGGCTTGTGTGAACGCAGAATTCAGATGCACCTGCCTAAGTTACATGACCTAGAAAATAGGCCTGGTTTGGTTTCAAAGCTTAGTAAACCAAATCTATTAAAAAATTACGATTCTGTGATTCTGTGATTCTGTGAAACCAAATCTATTAAAAAGCAAAAGTATTAAACCAGATTTTTCTGGCTCAAAGTTTGCAACATGCTCTTCTTCAGAAAATCTTTTGGATCGAAAGAATGTCTCGTAGGTCATCTAGCTCTCTCTCTGTAGTGCAATGTTCTCATTATTCCTGCAATTCCCTGGGTGATGGCTCTCATGATCAGCTTTCCATCACTCTAGTGACTATTGCATATTCATCAATTGCCTGCCTCTTCCTAGAATTGTAGCAACCTGTTCTTTCTTCTTATGTTCATGTAAACCAGGAAATACCCTTTTGAATCAGTGATACAACATTGGTGTAAATCAATGGATATGAGGAAACCTCATAGCTTTTTTTTAGGTTTTGGTATTTTACTGTTTTGCTCAAGCTTACTCTTCTAAACATTATTTTTATATCAATCTTAATGGAATAATGAAAATACTCAGTCTTTGCTCTATTCAGTTCATTTTTTATCATCCTTTGGGTTGCAATAATTTTCAAGTGTCGGAAAATTATTTAAGTTGATCTTTTTATGTTTGTAATCTTTGCTTCTGGGTTTTATTGGCTAAGTTGCTTCTGTATGTAGTTCTACTGTTCTGGATATTTTATCTTTTAAAAATCCATTGTCTTAGGCTGGTGGATTTTAATTAAGTGAAATAATATGTGATTTATTTGGTTTCTGACTACTATTTCTGACAATGCATCTGATTATAGTATAATAATTTTCTTTTTCATAACTGTCAATATTGTTAGCTCCTGCTCAAGTTGTTATCTCTTCCTGTCTTCATATATTTTGTAGAGTTTCCCATTCTGAGATTGTACTTCAGGCTAGCCTTTCTTCTATGAACTAGTTAATAATTTTCTTGTTGACAGTAATTTTCTTTTCATATATTGTAGGGCAAACTAAAATGATGTCTGACAGCAATATATATTTAACTGACTCACAGCTTTGTGCTCAGTCAGATAACCTGCATTTCCATAGCAAAACAAGATAATCATATTTTTATATTACAGAACCAATCATAGGCATTAAGTGTAGATGTCATTGTTACACGTACTTGAAACAGCTATTACCACAACAATTTGAATATAAGTTCAAGCTTATTTTCAAGTAAGTGAGAAATGAACAAATTACATTGCTCAGTGGCTGAATCATCAACTTCTTCCTACCCTGTGTGCTGGTTAAATAGTTCACAAATACATTGTTACTATAATTCAAATAGCATTGATTATAATGCCAGACATCTTTTTATAATAAATTGAAGTATTAATTTTTCTATACGTTGCAAGAAAATGGCAAATTAAGGTCAGCTTACACCACCCATTATTAAAAGTGTAGCTATATTGATCAAGACCGTGGGAAAAAAATTACACCTCTAGCTTACAGGGCTACACATGTACCTCTCCATCCATTATGGAGATGCAGTTTGTATTGGCAAAGGAGTTCTTTTTTATGATATTTCATTTTAAGTGCTTTGATTATGCTAGCAAAAATCTTATTTTTTCCCCAGAGAAGCTGCCTGTCTGCTGAGGGCCTTTGTTAATAGAGAGATTAGCCTCATCAGATATGCCTGAGCATGTAACAGTTTTCCGTATTTGTTCATATACTTGCCCTATCCCTGCATACGGGTACCCCCACATTGAAGCAACAGGTAGTTGTTAAGAATAGATGTGTGTAATGTCTGCAGCCTAATTAATTTCAGGTCATGTTGGAGATGAAGGAGTGGGACCATTGCTCCAAAAAATACGGTATTCTGATTTAACTGACCGGCTGAGGTTGGTGAAATGGGACAGTGAAAGAAAGGGCCTAGATTCCTTTTAAATTATAGGCACACTAGTAGCAACTTCCATTTTTTTCCCAGCTGGGATCCTTTGTTATGCCAGTGAGTTTTCCTCATGAACCATTTTTCTCTAAAACTACCTGGAGCAGAGCTAATCAGGACTTTGCCAAGAGCAGCATTTTTTTTTTTTATCAGAAGTTATCCAAATCATTAAAGCATTAGCAAGGAAATATAATTATTTCACAAAAAAATCCTCAAGTGCAGTGTATATGCATGAAGGAAAGAAAGGTCTGCAGAACAGCCAAACCTCAGCAACTGGGAGGCCAGTGTTGAAGACAATAACCATACCTCTGAAGGGAGAGAACAGTGGTTGAGACCATCTGTAGATGTCAGAGTTTATTCCTTCTGCCTTGTGAACAAAATCCAGAGGGGAAGAAAATGGAAAAAAAAAAACAGTAGAAAATGAAACTAGACAAAACAGAGAGAGGGCTAAAGGGGTGGAGGCTGGGAAGAAATTACTTGAGGATGGGGATGGCAAAGGAACACCCAGTGATGTCTGGGACAGCACTAAAGAAGACAAAGGGCGTGCATGTCCTAATGGGCACCTTTCTTTGATTATTCCCGGCATTGTTTGTCTTGAGACCAGTGTGACAGATTTCTTCTTTTCTCTCCACTCTAGCCTCTACCTTAAATTATGTTAGGCTAGGGATCTTAAAAAGTTTTAATACCTGAACATCCTCTGTCTGCTTTGCTTGTTGGTTGGGCATAGTTTCTAATGGATCCATTCTGATTTGTTAGTCTGTGATATTTAGCCTCATAGTCTCATATTTAGCTTAATTAGTCTAATATTTAGCAGGTGTGGTCTTCACTCTGTCTGTGGGTGGAATTGCTGAGCCTTTTTTTTGCAGTGATCTGGTCTTTTTCACTAACTTTTCCTAACTTCATAAAAATTTTTATGTAATAATCTAGAATGTCTGTTATTTTAGAATGTTAGTCCTGTATAGATGACTGTCGGTAAGTCATTTTCTTGCCCTTAGTTTCCATATCACTGAGCAGAATGTGGGGAGGAACAGATGTTTCCACTTC